GCGCAAACTGGCATTTCGATAATAGTTTTAAATTCTTGTAAATTCACTGCAAAAACTGAGGAAAGTCATTATAGAAAATAACAAATGTCTTAGAATATCTCGCAAAAAGAAATGATCCAATATTAGTTAGAGCTAGTAAGGCCAAACGCTCCGTTCTTGAAGTAAAAGTGGGAGCTTTGCGCCAAACTGACGTCACTAGAGTGACGTCGGAGGATCGGCGCGGCAAGAGATACTTCAAAGGAGTGAACCAGCCCTTCTATTCTCTTTATCCCTGGGACAGACCTTCCTCGTCAAGAAGTGCTCGTCCGAGTACCTTTCGTAGACATCGCTTGACAACTCCTATTAGGCGCTCCCACCAGCCTCCCCTAAAGTCAAGTTTTCAGTTTATTCTACGTGACTTTCAGTCTGATTTGCTCTCAACAAAATCCAATACCAAGGATGGGCCCGAAATGGATGTGCGCAAGGTAATATTATACTGGATAATTTAAAGAAGTTGATCATAAATAATTTTAGAAAATAAATATTTATTTAAGAAAAAAATATAAAATAAACGCTCAATTTGCGCTTTTGTTTTCATATTTTGCAATTTGGCAATCTTGTTACGAAAATATTTTTTAAATCATTCTTGAAAAATTTCCCGTTCATGTAAGTACGTTTTAATTCGCTACTCGAATTATAGATTTTGTTTTATTCTGTTTTTTTCTTTTTATTTTATTTTATTTTCTGTTTTCACGTGCAACCAAGAATCACAATTGATGAGCTACCACTTTAATATATATATTTGGTGCCCAGAGCAAGTTGGCAACTCTGTATATTTTATTCTTGAATAAATAGGTGTTATAGCCTATAATCCTATGTAAATGATAAATATCAATAAAACGATTTTTTTTCCTTAGCTTTCACATTGTTATTTTCGATTCTTGATTATATTCGAGTGTGAAAAATTATAGCTGTATGAAGTACAACACCGCTCGAATTATCTCGAGTGTGCACAGTTTGGCCTGTTCAGCGTGCTCAAATTAAATTGAGGGCACAAGTTAAGGGTTTAAAATAAATGTAATGATATTTCAAAATTTCAGGCACACCTGAAAAATCTTTATGCTCAAATCTCATCATTTTGCACAATATTTAGAGGGTATAGCTTTGGAGCACCCCAGTTTAACGATATTTTGATGTTATTGTTCTCAAAATGGACATTTTTCTCACAAACACATGTTGATTTAAATCTACAACTGTATATGTGAGCAAAATCATGCAAATTAGGAAAATTGCTTGTTGGTATAAAACTAGTACAGCTGACGAAAATTATTTTATAACGACTTTTCAGTTTAATAACGTGCTAGACATCAATAATATATGAGTAAGAGTACGATTTTTACTGATTTTAACGAAGTTTTAATTAAAAAAATAATTATTTCAAATTTTTAAATTTTTTTTTCTTTCAAAATTTAACATTTTTCTAGAAATTTTTAAGTGTTAATTGCTAAAACTGCCATGTCGAACATTAACATGGTATGGGTTGGCCATCAATTTCTTAAATATAAATAACATATATAATGATCTATACCTTTTATACGTTATTGCAGACAAGGCGACTCCAGCAAGAACAATGAGAAAAGTAGCTCCCAGAAAGCAAACAAAAATAAGGTCCAGCGTCTGATCTGTAAAAAAATAAAAAAACGGAACAGTTAGATAATTTTTTTAATTTCGAATGGCACATTAAAGATAAAGGAATATCAGAAATATAACAATAGATCTATAAATGAGAGCAAAGAGTCCAGTAGTGTTCCTAGATTGCTCTCCTAGATTGCTATCTAAACAATAGAGACCAGGCCATCTCTTCGTGGAGTTTACACAAGGTATAAGACGTATCATTAACCGCGACATAGATATTTATTCAGAATATCGTGTCCATATATCAGTCGAAACATGGTGACATATTTCATCTATGGTCACTGAGGGACATTAAGAATCTGTTTAAGCGAAGGTTTATCTAAATTGCGATTTTTTTTTTGTTCTTCGATGAAAGAATCCCTCAAGATATTCTTTATTAGACATTTGACATTATTAAGAGGAAGTCTGGAATTTGATCTCTGATTATTCGGCATGATGCTATTGCTCGTGATTATCAAA